TGAGGAGAGAGGATGAGGAAAGGCCCTCTGAAAGAGGTATTATTGGGAAAATGAGGGTAAGTGGGACGAACATCAGAGATGAGCCTAGAGAAGTGGGCACGCTCATGGCCTGTCTGCTGTACTGGGCTCTATCCTGGAAGCCATGGGGAGCCACTGAGGAATTTCAAGCTGACAAGTGGCATGACCAGATTTATATTTTAGAAAGATTCCCCTGGCAGCTGTATGTCAGATGGATTGGGTGGAGGCAGGACTGGTTCCAGGGAGACCAGTTAAGAATCTAGTGAAGTAATCCAAACTAAAGATGGTGAGGCCAGAAATAACACAGCGACAGAGAGGAAAGGACTAATTTGAGCGTACTTAAGGAGGCAGAAACATAGGATTTGAGAGACTATCTGGGAGAGAGAGGGAAGGAAGGAGGGAGAAAAATCAAGGTTTTGCTCCTTACTGACTGGGCAGCTAGTGGAGGATGATGGTGCCATTAACCAGGACATGGAATACAGGTGGTAGAGCAGGGGTGGAGAGAGATGATAATGTAGACTATTTTTTAAACTGAGATAAAGTTTGCATACAATAAAATGCACAGAATGGAAGCATATAATCCGGTGAGTTTTTTCAGATGTACGCATCCATGTAACTGACATACCAGTGAAGACAGAAAACATTTCTCTTCACTCCCGAAGTTTCCTCATGACCCCTTCAAGTCAATCCTCACCCCGTTGGCCAGCACTGTTCTGGTTTTTAGCACCATGGATTATTTTGTCTGTTTTTGAACTAAATGGAATCATACAATATGTAGTCTTTTGGACTGGTTTCTTTTGCTTAACATATTTTTGCGATTCATCCATGCTATTGCATGTATCGGCAGTTCATCCCTTTTTATTGCTGAATAGTAGTCCGTTGTATTAATACACTACAATTTGTTTATCCCATCTTCTGTGGATGGACATTTGGATTGTTTCCAGTTTTTTGTTTGTTTTACTATTGTGAATAAAGCCACTGTAAATATTCTTATGTAAGTGTTTTTGTAGATGTACATTTTCATTTGCCTTGCATGAATATCTAGGAGAATTCTTGGGTTATAGGATAGGTGTGTGTTTAACTGAAGGGGAAAATGCCAGACAGTTTTCTGAAGTGATTCTAGTATTTTATCCTCCTTCCAGCAATGTACGAGAGTTCTGGTTGCTTCACACCTTTGCTGCTTTGATGCTTTTTGTGTTTTTAATTTTAGCCATTTTAGTGTGTGTGAAGCATACACATCACATTATGGTTTTAATACAAATTGAGTAATAATAAATACTAATGATGTTGAGCATCTCTTCATGAACTTATTGGCATTCATTTTTCTTCTGTGACGTTTCTGTGCAAATCTTTGCCTATTTTTTGTTGGATTTTTTTATTATTGAGTTGTTAGACATCTTAATATATTCTGGATAAAAACCCTTAGTCCTATATATGCATTGCAAATATTTTCTCCCATTCTATCACTTCTCTATTCATTTGCTTAATGATGTCCTTTGATGAACAGAAAATTTTAATTTTGAGACCTATTTATTAGCTTTTTTGTTTTATGATTAGTGCCTTTTCTGTTCTCAGAAATCTTTGCCTACCCTGAGGTTGCAAATATATTTTCCTATGTTTTCTTCTAGAAGCTCTATAGATTTAGTTTTTATGCTTAGGTCTATAATCAATCTTGAGTTAATTTTTGTGTATGGTATGAAGTATGGGTCAAAAATTCGTTTTTTTCATATGGATATCAAGTTTCTCCAGCACCATTTGATGAAAAGGCTTTTCTTTACCCATTGAATTGCGTCGACATTTGTCAAAAATCACTTGACCGATACACGGTATGGGTCTGTTTCTGGACTCTGTTTTTCTTATGCCAATACCACACTGTCTTGTGGCTGACATGTTGAGGGAGTCTAGATTATGTTGTCTTGTTTTTAAGAGTGTTAAGTTTTATTCCAGCAGGCAGTTAAGTTACTGGTAGAGCCCTTTGATCCTGTCTGGCTTACATTTATTCTTCCACTTTGAATGTATTCCTATGGCCTATCTTCTCTCAGTCTCAGCGTGAATACTCCATATTCTGGGCTGGAGTCGCCTTGGCTCCCAACTCTGCGGAACCTCTAGTACCACCATTTACCCCACACAGGTGATCTCTACCAGGTCTGATGAAGTCTTGCCTGTGTAGTCCAGCTTTCAGCCAAGAAACTGCCCACCCCTCCAGCCCCGCTCTGTGCACTCCCTTCATTCTGGTACCCTCCCTCACAGATGCCAGCCACTCAGCAGCACAGAACTCAGATCCGCTCAGTGAGACTAGCACTCCGCTTGGGCTCCGTGTCCCTACACCACGCAAGAGGGTGCCCCAGGATGTAAGCTGAGCAGTCACGCGCTCGCCTCCCGTGGTTCCCTTCTCTCAAGGGTCACAGTCCTGCACGGCTTGCTGGGCAGTGCCTGGACGCATGTGTTCAGTCGCCTTATGTATTTGTCCAGCTGTACAGTTGTTCACGGCAGGGGGGAGGAGCCAGTTCCAGTTATTCTGTCAGGGCCTGAAGTAGAAGTTGAAGTTCAGTTTTGGACATGATGCTGAGCTTTTAGCATCTGTGGAACATCCAAGTAGAAATGCCCAACAGGCAATTGGGTATTTGTGTGTGGAGCTTGAAAGAGACAATTGGGGCTGGAGATTCAGATTTTGTAGTCATGAATTTATAGTGGTAGTTGAAGCCAAGGGAATGACTGTCATCACTTAGCCACAGAATGGTTTGAGAAGGGGCGGAAGAACATTTTTCTCTTGAAAAGCCTGGGAAGGGTGTAGCAGAGGAAGGAGGTGAGGAACAGGAGACACAGTGTCACAGAGACCACCGTGAATAAAGTGCCGTTCGTCTGGCTGTCAGGAGCCCAGGCTTTTCTCTGTAATGCTCACCAGTCCAGAGCCCAGCTCTCCTCCACTGCTGCTGAGGGCTTAGTAAGGTCTCATTGGGTGATCATTCTAGAAAAACCTACAGACTCAGGCTCCAATACTAATCTATAAAGTTAAAGCCACACCTGTCTTGAGGAAGCCCAGAATTTCTTCCAGACATGATCACATTTGTGCTTCTTGCCGCCTTGGGGCTTAGATAGCTGACAGGTTTGATCAACATTTTCGTATAGTCGAGAGGAAAACCAAGGCCCTGGAGAGGTTAACACTTGATTAAAGGCGTTGTGAAGTCTGCCCTGTTTCCAGTTTTAGTTTCTAGTTGTCTAGAGACTTTATAGGGTCTCAGAGTTGGATGTCACTCCAGGTCATCTAACACGACCCCCTTGATTTTTGGTGAGGAAACTGACACTCATAAATGGGAGGGCTTGAACTGGGTGTAAATAACACAAGTTCAGTGAAGCCAGCGAAAGCAAAAAGGAGAATTGATTCTAAGAGTACAGAGGTAGTTGATGGAATTCAAAAGGCACGGATATAGCTGAGCTCTGAGAATAGACTGGAGCCATGGCCTGGAGTGCTGTAGAGAAACTGGGAGGCCTATTCTTTTGCCCTTTTCTCTGCTTTTCTCTGTGTTTCCTTTTTTTTTTTTTTTTTTTATTTTCTAATT